CACCGAAAAAGGTAGATAACTGAGGGGGGGGGGTAGCATATATATATATATATACATTCGTACTAGTTGGATGGAAAGACTGGCATTACTACGCACGTGCGTAATCGTTTGTCATACATTTAGACTTATAGCGACAGAATGTAAATATATATATATATATATGTATATATGTATATGTATATATATATATACACAAGACATGTTAATGTGCAAATGTGTGTGTGTGTGTGTCTGTGAATATATGCATGCATGCATGCATGTGTGCATGTAATCATGCATGTATGCATGTGAGGAAGTAAGCAAGCATGTATGTATGTATGTATGTATGTATGGACGGGTGGATGTATGTAAGTGTGCGTGCGCGTGTGTGCGTGTTTGTTTGTTTGTTTGTTCGTTTGTTTGTTGGTAGGTTGGTTTGTTTGTTTGTATGTGTGTATGTATGTATCTACCTGTGCATGCTGAATTGTAAGTAGATACGTCGGTAAGGATTGCTAGACAGACAGTTTCATCTGAAAACAGGTAGATGGATAGGTAGGTAGGTCGGTAGGTAGGTAGGTCGGTAGGTCGGTAGGTCGGTAGGCAGATACGGATAGATGTCCATAATCGCCAGCAGGATCTTTGTGAGACTTGCCGTTTCTGCCCTTCCAAAGAGGCACTACTGAGTCGAATAGAAACAACCAGCTTTCAAACCTCCCGGCATTGAGAGCTCCAGGAAGATTTAAATTGAAGACCTGAACTGCCCTGCATCCCCCGAGCAGGCCATGGCTGCGACCTGCAGAGAGCCGGGAAACCCAAAGCCGCGAAGTTGAGGGCTGTAGCTTCTGTGAATGTGGTGGGTCGTTGCCTCCATACTGGTACTGCTGTGTGGCATTGTGAAGAGCATCTCACACGGAGGATGCACATGCACCCTTCGAGACCCCGACACGGCCACCTGGTCAGGCAACCACTTTAATAATTGGGACGTGTTACTTAGAATCAGAAGGCTTCTTTGATGTTGGTCGCGACGGCGGGTAATGCTTGGCATGAGATGGTGTCATAAGATCTAATGACATGGCTTCACTGGGACTATTTGCGGCTCGTAGTGTAGACATGGGCCTGTCTTGCGAGCATGTGAGACCGCAACATTGGCAGAATCATTACGCTTATTCGCCGTGTTACGTACGAGTAGCAACGCCTATCTATGTTTTCATACGCGCGCTTAGTAGTGGTATGATTAGCATTATCACCATGTTATCAGCACAGTTGGTGTTGTAACAGAAGTGTGTCTGCTATGTGCCGCCACCACACGGCAGTCCTTCGAGCGGTTCCCCCTGCCCGTATTAGCACCTGGCGACGAGGTTGAAATACTGTAGGCTGACAGGTCCACCAAAATATGTAATGTGGAATGAACGGAGATGTACTTCTTCCTATACATATGAATAGGTAGACAGATAGATAGATACAATAGAACATAGATCAAGAAGTACATACAGATGCATGTATATACACTGATTTATTTATCTGTTTAACGACTTGTGAGGTTGGCTCGTCAGGAAGAGCTTCAAGTCGAGCAGGCTCGCAAATGAAATAGGTTCAGGGCTGAAGGGCTTGGTCCGAAGTTATGAAAGCCCAGGCCTTGCGCAAATCGGGCTTCAGCTACCTCAAAGCAAGCCTCCAACGCCAACATGTCGTGGGATGAAGAGATGATGGGCCGATAATATTGGCAGTTTTATTTCAGAAAAATGAAAAATAACATTACCAGCGACCCTTGTACCCCAAAGGACCCGCCGTGAATCCGGAGAGTGCAGGCTCTTGCTGACCAGCATGGCTGTGAATTGGCCACAGTCCGTGATCTTCACCAGGCGAGGCGTCCAGTACTCGCATAGTAAAGGCCAAGCTCAAAGGAGTGAAATACAGTTTTGTACCACTGTGGAGTTGCTACTGTGATCATTACAGGTGCCGCTGCTTTGGCTGTGTGCGGTGGTGGTTTCTGTCGGTAGACGCAGCACTAGCCGTGGTAGTAGTGGCAGCAGAGGTCGTCGCGTGATGCTTCGGAATAAATGGAAGTCTTGAAATTCGTAGAGAGCTGCCAGGGATTGGAGATCAACCATTCGTGGCTTGTATTGGGGACGGCTGCGAAACTATTTTCACAATATGCTGTGCAACAGACAGGGACGGCTGAAAAGAGAGTTGGCACAGACGCCAGGCAGTGTCAAGACAAAGCGCTTCTTGTAACTGCTTCGTCGGAACTACTACTATTACTACTACTACT